ACGGCCCCTTCAGTCCAAGTATCCGGCTCCCTTCCCGTTTACGATTGTAACCAACACAATAATTTTTTGCTTGCATCCGTACTAAATTGTTACAGGATTTTTAGTTGTCCAATTATTGTGCATTTCTATTACTATAAATTCAATTTTAATAAGTTTCTAATACTGATATCAATAATTTAAAGTGTTCGTAGACTAAGGGGGACAGGTATTTTATTTTAAATAGTTTGGCTTCGAGATCAAAAATGTAATTACTTCTTATTTAAAATCTGAATAATAAATGGGTACCGAAATCATATTCTATTCAACTTATATTTAGGGTGCTTATCCTCTCAAATGTTTCTATTTAATATAAAATTAATTCTCACCAAATTTGGGCGTTCCAGCTCATCTCTAAGAGGTCGCTGTTTTTATTTTAGTTTCCCATTTAATTAACATGGGAAAAAATAATTTTGTGTTTGGAATGTTTATATAAAATTTAACGCTCTACAAAAAAGGTCTCTTATGATTTTTCGATAAATTTATTTCTTATGGGCTGCTGTATCCAATTCACGCATCTCTTCAATCAGTACTAAAACAGTAGCATTGCCGTGCATATATTTTTGAATTATGGATCTAGAAGAGTGTATTATACTGAAGTATACAGGGTGTTATTGAAATACACGTACATATTAAAACTGGGTATTGCGCAGATCCCCACTGAATGTAGAAAAATATTATTTTTTAAAAATACCCCTTATTAAGGGAGTTATTAATTTTTGAAAATTAATTCTAAAACAAACGTACTTCACTGATATGTTGAGGATGACCTATATAAATTAGGTTTATTTACCTATTTTAAACATCAACAGTAATTAATATGCAAGTTTTTGTCAGATGATAAGAAAACTAGTCTTGTAAGAAATAACCATGTTGCCAAGATTTTCGAATTAATTTCTATTTCCGAAGACTGGTTTTTACTACCCTCGTTATCAAAAAACTAGAATATTTGATAAATGATTGTTTTTAAACTATACATTTTTAAAACTATAGATTATTAAAATTTTAGTTGATTTACGAATCTGGCTAACACGAGCGCGTCATTTCCAAGTTGGTAAAAAGTGTTGTTACGATTACTTTTAAATATTTTTTTACGATGCCACTATTTACGAATATTGAACTAACGGATATGGTGCTGGTTTAAGGGGCAGCTGGAGAAAATTCTCGGCAAGCACAAATCCTGTATCGCGAACGGTTTCCAAATCGGAGAATTCCGGACTGTCGTACGTTTATTTCAACTGTTCAGCATCTAAGAGACCATGGAAAATTTGAGAGTGTCAATGCAGATCGAGGGAGAACAAGAACACAAAGAACATTGGCGGCCGAAGAAGAAATATTGGAAGATGTTGAAAACCGGCCTCAATTAAGTTGTAGAAGACTAGGTCTTGAAATTGGAGTGTCCTCATTTGTTGTGTGGCGGACACTTAAAGAACAAGGTTTACATCCTTATCACATCCAAAAAGTCCAGGCCTTATATCCAGGTGATGAAGAAAAGAGAGTGGAGTTTTGTGAATGGATGATTCAAAAATGTGTTGATATTCCTGATTTTCTAAAAATATTATTGTATACTGACGAGGCTTCATTCACTCGTGATGGCGTGTTCAATATGCACAATACGCATATTTGGAGTGATGAAAATCCTCACGCCATTAGGGAAACTGGGCATCAAAGAAAATTTTCAATAAATGTTTGGGCTGGCATAATAGATCAGTATTTAATCGGGCCTTATGTTCTCCCGAACAGATTAAATGGGCCAGGATATCTCCACTTTTTAGAAGATATTTTGCCAGTACTCCTAGAAGAGATACCGTTACAATTAAGGCAACGGATGTGGTACGTACTAGATGGCGCTCCTCCTCACTTTGATTTAAAAGTACGGCAGTTTTTGAACATTAGATTTCCTCAAAAGTGGATAGGCAGAAATGGACCTACTAAGTGGCCTCCGAGATCTCCGGACTTAAATCCATGCGATTTCTTTTTGTGGGGTCACATGAAACAACTGGTTTATAATGAACCTATTAATAGTGTTGAACAATTAACCAATAAAGTTAATGCGGTAGCCGAGGAACTACGACAAAATCCAAGACTAATTTCTAATGTTCAAAGTTCTTTGGAAAGACGATTGCAAGTGTGTGTAAATAATAATGGACGGCATTTTGAACAATTACTGTAATAAACTTTATTTTGAATTAATTGGTTTTGCTACGGCAACAGTGCAATTTCTATGGGTAAGTTCAATTTCGATTTATTTTACTTTTTTAAATATGGAAACTAGTAGGTCGGAAAAGGGGACTCTTCCCCAATATTTAAATTTTAGAATTTGAAGTTAAAATTGGTGCCAATCGTTTTTGGTCATTACATACTATTCCCCATTTTAATATGTACGTGTATTTCAATAACACCCTGTATAATACAGTGACCTACATAAAATGAGAATCGTATGGGATTTTTTTCTAAATGCTGTAGATGAATTTTGACTTTGCCATCTTCTGTTGCTTTAAAAATGATAACGAATGACATGCAAATGGACAATCACGTGACCTTTTTAAATGTCTAAAATAACATTTTTTTCCTAAAAATTGCAAAAATGGTATTAATTCCAGAAATTGCTTAATAAAAAATTGCTTATTATAAAAATGTTTACCCATATAGCCCGTTATTTGTACTAAAATGTTTTAAATAATGTTTTCTCATACAGTTTAATCGATTAAACTAGATGCACTTAGGATACCCTTGAAAAATATCCTGCGCCTATGCTATAGTCTCTGTTGCAAAAGTATCCATGTCTGAAAAGGTCTATATATCATAATAGTAATTCGCTATGTGGCATATGCATTCAGCCTGCGCGGCTGAAGGTGCTGGAATACAATACAATACCGTGTGAATAGCTCCATTTAAATGTATAGTCAGCCTGAATCTCGGATACGAGTATCTCGCATACAGTATCCTCGTCTGAAAGAGGTCTTAAATTTAATGCAATCTCTTATTGAATACAAAAACATCCAACCTGCTGTTACAATTGCTGCTCTAGACAAATTAAAATCACATCTTTGGTACTTATCAGTAGATTTAATCAGTTTATCGTTTTTCGATGAAAGAGTGTCCGTAGAAACAAAGATGAAAATGGTCAATGTAATCAAACAGCAAAAGAATACTATAAAAAATAAAAACAAGATTTGAATTAAATATTAATGATTTAGATATAATGGTTGGAAAGGATTTAAGTGACTTCATCAGCGTTGAATCTCTTTTTATTTTTAATCATATGACTTCCTTGATCTTCATCCTGGGAAGCCAACGAACATTTTATTGAATGCAGAAAAATGTTTAGTAGTTAAAACGGCATCAATGACGTAGCAGAGCGAGGTATAGCATTAATAACTAAATTCAACCGTTGCTTAACAAGAAATGAATAGCAGAAACAGTATCTACTTCAACTTGTTCAGTCTCATTGACAACAGTATCCTGATTGTATGAAAACTGCACTCAATGACTAAATAAATAAATTATTATTGAAAAAAACGAATTGAAAGAATATTTTCACAGAATAATAATCATGGAAGCAATGCGTTCTCTACAAATTACCCCTTAGAGTTAAGCTATACAGTGCCTGCTTTTTTCTATCAATCACCAACATTTGGGAGGGTAAGAGTTAAAAAAAAAAATATTTTTGAAGCACCTTAGTTTGCATAAAATCCGAAAACAAGTTCGATGGAAGTTTTCCAAATTTTTACCTTCTTTTTTCTTACTCTACAGGCTCAGAATATTTTTTTTTGATTACAGGCGTGAGCTTGTGAGTCAATATATTTTCAAATGATTAAGAAACCGAAAAAACAATTATTAAAAAAAAAAAAAAAATTACGAAATTTTTTGGGTACCCCATTTTGCTAGAAGAAATCAATTTATCGAAAAATCATAAGAGACCTTTTTTGTATAACGTTAAATTTTATATAAGAAACTGCAATGATCATTGCTATAAGTTACTTTGATACAGAGGTATAAAATTCCAAACATAAAATTATTTTTTCCCATGTTAATTAAATGGGAAACTAAAATAGAAACAGCGACCTCTTAGAGATGAGCTGGAACGCCCATATTGGGTGAGGATCTTTTTATATTAAATAAAAACATTTGAGAGGGTAAGAGCAAAATTTTTGAAGCACCCTAATGGATACACAACGAAAGAAAACCAAATTCTCTGTTTGTATTTGTAACCGTACACGTCAAGAGAAAGAAAAGTTCCAAAAAAGAAATTGTAAATTAGATTGCTGAAGGGAAAGAACGAGAGAAATAAATTATCAAAACAATAATTAGTTGTGAATATAAAGCTGTATGAAACAACAATTTGGATCACTAAAATCCAGAAACAAAATAATTAACAATCTGTTCTAACAATCATTGTTTTGGTTACACGTTGGAGTCAAAGAGGAAATGTTTGCAGCAATGCCTCCTTTCCCCTTAGTTCGAAATTCCTTATAAAGAGTATATATATATAAAAAAAAACGTTGCATAAAAATTACATACTTTAAAGGTGATACTTAATAAATAAAACACATAGCATGACAAAATACACAATAACATGACAATGAAAACCAGACGATCAATCTACCATAACAGCACTTCTTTCCAAAACCACATTTGCCCAAAAACATTTCTTCTTTGATTGCAACGCAATGTCTTTTACCAAGTAAATTTTCGCGAGATCCTGTTCAATCAAACGGTAACAGAGGAAGTACAGAGTTGTACTCGTCTTACAAGCCACTAAAATCGGTTGATCCAATGGGATTTCGTAAAAATTTACTCCAGACAAATAACACAAATGTATGTAAAATATCTAAGGTGCCAATGAAAGCTTGAAACCCGGCGCGTACACAACAATCACATATACACAACGATACATAAGTCATCAGGCAGCACTGAGGATGTAGCCAGCACAGGCAGGTCAGACAAATAACGATTGGTACCTAACAAGGGAATGGCATCAGATACTTGGGGCAAGGTTTCAGCCACTAGGTTCAGGAACACAGTCAACGACAGTAAGATGGTCACTCCTGTAACAGAACATATCTTCGTTATGCTATTCTGCGACTAGATTATTATAGTATGGTGCTATTTGTAACAGAACTGCTCTAGAAATGAATTCTGTAGGGGACTAAAGTGAATTGAAAACTAATATTTTGGAGATTCTAAAACTGGAGGTAATGCAAAATTAGACCATGCAGAAGGGCACTATTTTTATAAAACGAGATATTGGTACAATTGCATAGAGAATAACCTGTACTACAATATAATCGAAAAAGCCAAAAAGTCACTTTACAAGTCAGGTAAATGTATTATTTTAAACATTTAAAAAACCATTGGGGCTTACGGCCCAAAAAAATTAAAAATGCGATTTCCTTGGTTTTATCTTAAGAAAAAATTGGGAAAATGTACTTTTTATGTTAACACTACGAAATTAGCTAAAATTTCTTCTATGAAAACTGATATTTCTTCTGATATTTTTTCATTAGATAGTAAATTTTGTTCCATGGTAACTAAAATTTCTTCTGACATTACTTCCTTAGAAAGGTCCTGTTTGAGCGTGAGATGAGACTACCGTGCAACCTTGAGTTTGGATGTCGACCTGGAGAAGATGTAGCTGGTGAGGATTATGTGATCCAGTTACGAAAAAAAATGAACCGGTAGGGCCTACGGGTCTTAATCCGACACTGCCCCAACAGACGATTCCTTAGGCTTTATCAAACCAAGATTTAGTTAAACTTTTAACCAAAAATGGAAATGCCAGCTGCCAAAGCCAGTTTTTGAAGAGGACAGCGAAGAATCAGAAGACGAGGTGAAAATTTAATACGATTTTTAAACAAGCTTGTAAGTTGTGGTTTTTCTAATAAAAAAATATGATATCCATGTGTTCCTGACTATAATTTGTTCTTGGTTTCCCGGACTAATGGTCTAGTGTATAAATTTTTTCAAGACCCCTATTTCAGTGGACATATGTACAGGGTGTCCTAAATTATGTAAAACGGAGACAGGTTAAAGATCTCATAATTTTAAGCAAAAAGGTTCATATTAACAATGGTCAGATTTCCATAATTAGCAAAGTTACTGGTGGTTCAAAATTGATAGAAATGATACATTTTCTGTTGCAAGTCACTTGTGAAATTTGATATTTTCTTGATTTTTTTTAATTAGTTATCTAACTTTTACATTTCTTGACTTTTGATCGAATTTTGATCAATGTTTACATGTTAATATAAACTTTTTGGCTTACAATTATGAAATCTATAAACTGTTTCAGTTGTATCCGTACAATTTGGGACATGTGTGTAAAACGTTATCAGAACTACAAAAGTTTATCTACAAAAAAAATTAAGATTGGTTATCCGATGTGTTGATAATATTATGAGCCAGGCTAGTTTCGTAGTGCGATAAAGACAGATATATGTTTACAATCATAGGTGCAACTAAGATGGAATATACAAAGCGATAACACCGTTAGCAGAGTTTAGATCACTGGCAGCAACCGTTTTAATTGATTTGTTTTATATTAATTAACATAGAAGTTGATTATTATAAGACATTTTAGAAACTTTTATAAAGAGTAACTTTTTTGTTTTAAAAACTAATTTCGTAGTGTTAATATATAAAGTACAACATTTTTCCCAATTTTTTCTTAAGATAAACCGAGGATATCGTATTTTGAATTTTTTTGGGCCGTAAGCTCCAATGGTTTTTAAAATTACCTAACTTAGTGACTTTTTGGATTTTGTGGTTATATTGTAGTACACATAACGTCTATGCAATGGTACCAATATCTCCTTTTTTGAAAATAGTGCCCTTCTGCATATTCTAATTTTGGATTATCTTCCGTTTTAGAATCTCCAAAATATTAGTTTTCCATAATTTAACAATTTATCTTGTAACACTCAGATCCCCACAGAAACCATAATCCCACTACACTATTAGTTAAATTTATAACGAAGTTTTTTTCCCTGGTTGTCTACCAAATCCGCTTCCTGAAAATTACACCAACATAAAAGTTATCGCGGTTAAAGAGAAAATATAATCTACTTTATTATACAGTGCTGGCAATATTAAACTTTCAGGTCTGCATTGCTAGTGTTAAAATGATTAATAAATAGCGTTTGCATATATAAGAGAAGAAACGATATAGTATCGATGTTGCCAGTCGAATCACCGATCGTGCACATACAAGGCCCACCGCTACCGACCGGTTAACCGACTGGCAACATCGATAATATATCGTTTCTTATCGTGTAAATTTGAAAGCTGTTTTTTATTCGCTTTAATACCAGCAAAGCAGACCCAAAAGATCTTGCTAGGTACTGTATGTGGTGATTCCTAAGTTAATACTGTGTATAAATGTAAATAAAATGAACAACTTTTACAAATATAACTTCTGCAAAACATTCAAAAATAAAAAAGTCACAAGGATTTAGATCTGGTGGCCTTGGCGGCCACTCAAGAAAGATGTAAAAATACAAAATCCAAATCTGGGCCTATCATTAGTCGGAAAGTGTGGGAGTTTGTATAAATTACTTTGCCGAATGGGCGAATCGGTTGAAATGGACCAGTTTCATGGCCACCGGGATCACCAGAAATAAATCCTTGTCTTTTTTATTTTTTTTAACTTATTTGAAAAAGTTTATTTTAATTATTTCTATACACTTATAGTATCCAACTTAGGAATCACGCTGCATAGAAAATAGTTAATTTACTATTGACCACCACTGAATATACCTAGCTTATGTACAGGGTGTTTCATTTGGAGGGAGTTTGTTCAATTTTTCTCATTTCTCTCGAGGGTTGCTAACAATCAAATATATTTTTTAAAATTTGATACAAATGTTTTTCTTCAACAGTCCAAGCGACTAATATAGTAGCCAAAATAAAAATTCAGAGCCTGTAATAAAATTGTATGCTTGATAATAAAAAGTAGGTAGATACACTGTTTAATTCAGTTTTGTGCTTTTATCAAATAATATGCAGATCTATTTTAAAAATTATGATATTCAATTGCTTTGAGGACATATTTTTTATTTATTTGTTAATCTGGAACTAGTTTCTTTTTCTAAAACATTAGTCAAAGGAAAGCATGTGTATCAAAAAATACAGAATTTGTTAGTTCCCTAGAATGAAATGAGTAAATTCATTCAATTTGTTACTTAGTTATCAAGATTGCAAGATTCCAAACCAACTCTATTCACCTTAATTTCCCTTTCCCAATGAAATATCCTGTATCAACAGTATTGCTTGAATCCGGCTACAGACTGAACTACATGCACAAATTTATTGTACAAATACTTATAAGGAGGTGTTAATTTAAAAACTTACAATATGAAATCTCCCGAATAAAATAAATTATCAAAAAATGCAAAAAATATATCAAAGATTTTAATATTATAATTATGTTAAAAGTGTATTTTGAATATTTTGAGAATGCTCCGATTGTCTCAAGAGAATATGCATTGAGATATCCTACGCAAATTCGAGAAACATTTAAAAATCTGGCAAATCGTTTAAAAGATACCGGGTGTGTTCGACTTAAAAGAGCTATTCAATGACGTCTAAGAAACAGAACTCAAATTAATGAAATAAATATATTAGCATACGTTGCTGCAAATCCACATATAAGTATACGGAAAATTGCTTCCGACTTAGGACTTACTAGGTACTGCTTTTGTTCTATTTTAAAACAACATTGACTCCATCCATACCATGTAGCCCTTCATTAAGGTCTGAAATTAACAGATTATGATAAAAGGCTGGATTAATTGTAATTGGTTTAAAAGTATGCTTAATGAGGATCCACAATTTTTATCATATATAATCTACGTTTTCCAATAAGGGATCTGTAAACAGACATATATTATATGTATTACTGATCTAACCAGAATCCTCATTGGACGCGAGAAATGTTTAATAAAGATCGGTGGTCAGTAAATGTGTGGTGTGGAATTTTAGGTGGTAAAATTATAGGTCCTATTATGTTTAATGAAAATTTAAATGATGAGCGATATTTAAGATTACTGAGAGACGAATTGCTTGTTTTATTAGAAAATGTTTCACTAGAGATAGTCCGTATTATGTAGATACAGCAGGTTGGCTGTCCAGTACATTATACCAATGACATAATTAACCGTTTAAATCAACATTTTCGCAATAGGTGGATTGGAAGAGGTAGTCTATTTCCATAGCCACCAAGATCTCCCGACCTCATCGTATTAGATTTTTATTTGTGGGGTCAACTTAAAGATTTAGTTTATCAAACTCAAGCTGTAAGTAGATAAGAGATAAGTCAAGGGATACAAACTGCTATTGATCATATTAGGGTTGAAATAGAAGCTGCTGTCAATTCAGCTAGACAGAGACTTGATATTTGCATTGATAAAGATGGAAAACAATTCGAGCACTACTTCTAATTCTTGTATTGTATTTTGTTTTCGTTAAATTAGATCTTTTTTACTTACTTTTCTATTTTGTTCTGTTTTTAGTTGTTTGTTTATTTAAATCAGCAAACTTGAACTAAAGAGGTACCTAATTAAAATCGGATTTTAATAATTTTTTGTGTTATAAAAGCCAATTTTATTTATTATTATCTAGGTGGACTATTCACTGTTAAAGACTTTTGCTTATATTTCGTTAGAAAAAGATAAAATAAGACTCGGTTTTTTACTGTTTATGTCAGTTTTGAATTCTCTTTCTAAATAACCTATAAAAATTATAACATTTAATTTTAAGTTTTCAAGAAAATTTCGAAAAAATGGCTACTGTTTAAACAACTCCACTTAGTGCTCGTTTAAACAACTGAATCAGAACTATATTGAAATATTTTACTAAACAATCAATTTACTTTTCAAAATTTTTCAAAATCTGATAAACGACATCGTAGTTTTATTAAATTAGGGTTTCTGATGGCTCTTACCAGTTATTTTATTGAATAGAACAAAATTTTGTAAAATTTGCTCAAAATTACCGTTCTTTTATAATTATCATACTATTATTGGATATTTAAAGGGGAAAAGTTATTTTTTTTTGCATTACCATAGCGAATTACGCACTCTAACGGTTAAAATAATAATTTCCAGTATTTTCTCTTGACCGACTTAATAAAATTTGTTTTTTTAAAGCCGTAGGAAAAGTAGATTCTGAGTTACAACCGCTAAGAGTCTTTAATCAGACCCCCTATAATGCATTTTTAGCTGGTATTACTGTATTACTGTAAAACTTTTACTATTTCATGTCATGTCTGGTAACAATTTTTAGACACAATAATTTTTCTCTTTCTCTTGCACTATTTGTTTCTTTTTCGGCCCTAGGGCAGAAAAGTATTTCTTCTCAAGGGACGCAAGTAACACTTTCTTGAAATTAACAGATATTGTTACGAATAAATATAACACTCTTTGAATAGGTATGTTATGATTTGTAAGGTTTTGTCCAAGGGCACGCGCGCTAAATAGATTTTTAATAAAATAATAAAACGTGTAGTTGGACAAGGTTTTTTAAAATCATAATACTAAAGTACAGGGCCAAGAAAGATCAACAGGAGCATTCTTGGAAAATTACAAGTTAATTTTCGGGGGGTTCCTTTTGGTTTTTGTTGACGAGCGGTCGTAATCATTCGCACTAAGGGAATTCCTTTTTTTGTGTCGGTAGGTGGAATCACGGGTCGGTCACGAGAAATCGCGGTTAGTTTTTTTGTAAAGCCACACAGTGGGAAAAGTAACGTGTGTCTCAGCCAGTCCTGCAGCCTAACGGATTAAAATATAATGTTCATGTAAATAAATAGTTTTGAGTAGTAATATTTAGTTTTGTGTAGTCAGCAAAGACTACTGAATTGCTAAAGCAATACTAGTTGTTTTTATATTTGTTAAATAAATCATAGTTATTTGTTTTACGCTTGTTGTTTCAATTTTTTTGGTTTATGAAAACTCACGATCATTCAAAGGCGGGGGTATTGGCTTAGTCAGATCTCTGAGAGAGAGATACTGCCAAAGGGAATAGTCTCTGTAGGGCAAACCCTTTCCCCGCCCTCTGAATCACCGTCAGGAAGTTAGGGTTCTTTAGGCCCATCCCGTCTGAACTTAACCTCCTATCTCTGTGTTATCTAGAGGCCAATTTAAATACAAATTAGGCCCCTTTATATAACCCGTGGTTACAGCTAAGAGTGGACTTTAGGGTCAGTCAAAAGGGCCTATAATCTCGCTCTTAACAATATCAAGCTAGTAGTACAAAAAAATTCGTGTATGTGTACAGTAATTTCTGTAGCCAGGCTTAAAACAATATTTTAGTAGATAAGTTGATAAAATTATTTTCAAAAAAAAAGTTGATGCAAACAGAACAATAAATATATTTAATTAGAACAATGTAAAAATCTAGAGCAACGAATATGAAATGATGAAGAGATTTTTGTTGCCAAAAAAATTCCGAGCAATTTTTCATTATTCGGTTAACCCTCACGAAGATAGTGTTTCCAATTTCAAATAAAATTCTCGTTTCAATATTGGTAGACAATCTACTTCGATGTTTCCATAGGGGCTTAAAAATCCGTACCTGTCTGCACCTGGTAGCCGCCACTAATGGCTGACCAGGTCGAAAAACTTACCTTCTGGTGAAATACAAGTAAAACTGTTCCGTTGAATCCGTCACCTCTGGTATTTGGAACACCATACCATTACCTATATCTATCTAGGAAAAGGGAAATCAAGCAATTGTATATGGAGAGGAAACTGTACTGTTGACGTTAAATAATATTTTGTAAGTATATACAGATAAAGGAAGCGGGCATTATATACAACGCCCTCCAAGTATCAACGGACAGTCCATCAAGGGGACACACAGGGCGATACATTACACGATGCTCCCAGTAGGCCATTCATACCTATCAACGGAACAGCATCTGATGTAGTCGGTATCTTTTCAGCTACTAGGTTCAGAAATACTGTCAATGAAAGAAGTATGGTGACACCTGAAATGAAGATTTTGAATTTTGAACGTGAGTTTCTGTAAGTCGATTTGACCGTCGATCGTGTAAAAACAGTTGAGTAGTTGGTTTAAGTGGTTCTGGTACTGGTTCTGTTAATTTTAACTGAGAAAATATACATGTATCTTTTTTCGATGCTGAAATGTGAAGCGTCACCCGTATAACACAATAATACAAATACATAAAGCAACAAATAAGACAAAATACCTAATGTCAATTTTTCTCCAGAGTCCGGTGGAAGAGTGAAACCCAATAGAGCCATAGACGAAATCAATACGCATGGAACAATCAAGTTGAAGAAGTAGTACAAAGTGCGACGACGAATTTGAATGGTGAAGGTTACATCCACGTAGGGTTCCGGGCAACATTGGTAAACGATCGTATTCTTCTTCCCAGGCATTCCTAAAAACATATTACATTAGAATACAAGAAAATCAAAACAATTAAACGACCAAGAACATATTGATAAATTCAAAAAAATATTTCAATAAATACACATCAAACTGAAAAATCGTTCAAAACAAAATACAATATTTATGACGGCTATCGAACACGTTCCAATGCGCCTTTGCACAAGTGCGTGTGAGAACTACATAGAGTTCGCATTGGAACAAGCAGAAAACGATGTCAGTTCATACAGCCTGGCCAACGTTACAACGCGGACAAATGTCCCACAAAGGGGGCTTGAGTCCCTTTCCTTGCGAGACTATCTACGATCTCGTTACCATTGACCCCGTTGTATCCCGGGACCCAAGCAAGATAAATTGTATTTTTCTCGCCGTTCTGCCGTATCAGTCGTAACACAATATTAAGAGAGATTAAAAAAGAATTGGGCAATGGAGGAACCGATAATTGTAATAATCTCTTAGGGTTAAGATAAGCTAAGGTACTTCTGGGTAAATATAACCAGAAAAGTTCAGAAGTCTGTATCTTTAGTTTAGGGTTTTTGACGTTTAATATTTGAAAAAATTGTCAATAATGTCATATCATATGCATAGCATTTTATTATTTTATTAGGTTATTTGTGTCTGTATTATTTTGGGCAAGGTCGAGTTGACTCCCGTATTAAGCTGGTAGTTTTTTTATGGGTCGAATTGTCTCCCATCATAGGCCGAGTTGTCTCCCAAGCTAATGTACATTAAAAGGTATTTACTTTAAACGTAATTCTAGGTACAAGAAAGTTAATCATACTTAAGACCTCGGAGCAGTCAATAGATGCACTTATGACTTTGTGAATAACAATTAATCCTGCAATGTCACGCCTATCTTCCAGTGAGTTTACACAAAATCTGCTAAAGAGATTTATGTAGGAGTATCCGATAACTGGATAGAGACCATCTTCTTTAAAACTCAAATATTTCAAGAACCTACGCTGCACTCGTTCTAATGTGGTAATGTAAATATCATGTGAGGGACACCATATGACAGAGGCATATTCTAATTTAGAGCGCACATAAGAATAATATAATAGTAACAACGTATTAATATATTTAAAGGTCTTGGTATTTCTGATGACAAATCCCAACATTTTAAATGCTTCATTGGAAATTCTACTAACATGTGAACTAAAAGAAAGTTTACTATCAAATGTTACACCGAGGTCCTTGAACTCAGAGGCTCTGGTAACAAATATATCAGAAATTGCCTAATCATGATAAATAACATTGTGTTTAAGGGAAAATGAAACGGTACAGCATTTATTAGCATTTAATTGTAGGTTGTTCTCAACACACCAGGTATGCACTCGATCAAGTGCTACCTGCAACGTGTTGCAGTCATCTGGTGATTTAATAACACTATACAATTTCATGTCATCGGCATACAGAAGGCAATTTATATCCAAATCGTTTACAATGTCATTTATAAATAGGTTAAAGAGTAGTGGACCTAACACAGAACCTTGGGGTACACCTGATGTAGCCACATAGCTTCTTGAAGTATGACTGTGGCATTCAACATACTGAGATCGGTTTAGTAGATAGTTATCAAATTTTGTGAAAATCCAAATGATTCTAACTTATGTACCAATAGATTGTGATCAATACGATCGAAAGCTTTTGTGAAGTCGGTGTATATTACATCGACTTGTGTGTTATTGTCAAAACCAAGAGACATTTTTTGAGTAATACAAAATAAATTTGTTGTGGTTGACCGTCCCATGTAAAAACCATGCTGCTTCTCAGAAATCTGATTTTTTACATGTTCGAAGATAGGAGAGTATAAAGATATTTCAAATTCTTTAGATATGTTATTAATGATACCCACTGGCTGGGTGGCTTGTATTTTGTAAAAAATCTAAATTATAATGTTTCCTTAAATGCTAACTTTATAATATTACTACCGAAAACTATAACTCAACTAAATACTTACCAATAAGATACCATTCACCGTTAGTTATGAAATCAGACAAATCGCCTCCTTCTTCGGAATTAAGGACCAAGTCAAGCTGTGGAAAAATTACTCATTAAACACTTGTCAAAGAGATATAAGACACAGGCTAAAATTCATGTCAAACAAGCAACAGAATATGGATTAGTATAAAGTGTGAAAATGTCAAAGTGTTTTACCGATGAAACTAAATATACAGTATGTGCTAGAATACGTGCAAAAGCTGACATGATTATATGATGATAGCATTAGCTTCTACTGACATACAAGAATCATTTATGACGATGTGGTAGTTCTCCCATCAATATCACGTTTCATCTTAGACAAAAATAAAATTTTTAAATACAATTTACATAATATTATAAACTTACTATCTCTACAAAACTAATTGATAAAAATGAATGTTACAAAGATGATGCAGGTAATTATAAGATACAGCTAATGGAACAATTTTTTACCTTATGCCATTTTATTAAACGATTTCTGTCAATATGTTGTCGAGTTTCACATGACAATACAAAAGAAATTAGGACCTACAACTTGAAATTGTTTTTATTTTAGTTTTCTGATTTTTCATCAGTTGTACTCTAGTCTAAAATGGAATTCTTAGACTCCATCTCCTCTTATGTTTATCTGCTTCACTGGAAAACAGGTTTCTAATCAAAACCACCCAGTCCAAATCTTCTATCTACTAGGTTCCCCTCTTATTAATATTAGTTTAGTAGTTTATTTAGATATGTCGTTTTTATAACATCAGTGTGTGTGTAAGAGGTTCCCATTAAAAGGGAGGGTTTTTGGCATCGGACTAAATCTATTTGCCACAGATTGTTTCAGCCCCATATTTCTTAGGTGCCATTGTTAAAAAGTAATGAGAATATAGAGATAAATATGTCATAAATAAAATAGGACAATCAGTGAAAAAACGATTAGAACAAAACATGGAAAAATAAGACATAAAATAATGTAGTATAATAAAATTTTGGCTATACCTTTATGAAGGAAATAACCGTAAATATTGCAAATGAGATAAGATATTATGTAATTTTTCTTGTTTAAAGAAAACCAAGATTAGGAGACAAAAAATTTGGGATTATTCTTGTCAAAAAATAAATACTGTTAAATGTTCATGATGATTATTACTTCCTATAAAAAAGATGTAAACCAGATTAGCCACAGTAAATACATTTAATAAAATAACATAAGACGAATTATTTCTTATCATAGGTATAAAAATAATAATTCAAAAATCATGCTAAGAAATGTAAATAAATATGCCAAAATTATCTTAACTAAATAAATCTAAATAATACTGTCAATAATCAATAGGCAGTTCCTTTTAATAAAGTAGATAGGTACATCGGGATATCGATATTCAAAAAGAAATTATCTACGGTTAATTTGCAATGAAAAATTTTAAAGATGTAGTCGAGATTTGCTCGTGGTATAATAATCCAAACAATTTCCTCGCTTGGAGACGATTTTCTACAGTTCGTGCTCTATTTACCTGCAACTGCCTTATTGATAAAATAATTCATTCATGCAAAACTTGGAATATCGATGGATTGATTCACTCAATCTTAAGGAAATTGTCCAAATTTAATTGGATCACTTTCATATTTTTATTATTAATAAATAAAATACATATTTAGATTTCTTTTATAATAAATATTATAAAACAAAGTTTACGACGTTCAATATAGTCCTGGTAAAAAAATGGACATTTTGAAGGTGAAATATGAAATATTCACCTATTGAAGACTTCTTTAGACTACACAATTTCTTGTACAAGATTTGATAAAATTTTATGTGTTATACTATAAAAAAATATTGCATAAGCACAGCAGATATTTCTATTGAAATTTTACAAGAATTTTTGTTCCTGATATTGAAAAAAAAAATCGGACAAATCACAAATTAGTTTCATTGCTTTCAAATCTCCTGGGTGTGAATAGGAACGAATTTTCGAAATTTTTATTATTGAAAATAGAAATATTTCCGAGTTGAGTTCAAATCATGTACAATTTATCAATTGTACAGATGTTAACTGATTTATATGTACGATTCCAAGTTCCCAGATGCAAATGAACATTATCACTGGGATACATTTCAAATGCTAAGTGAAACACGAAAGTTTGTTCAAAAATTTCCAAAATAAACTAATAATTAGAAGTTAGAATAGAATAAATCTACTTTTTTTATTATACTTCTAAAAAAAAATAGATAAGAAAAGTGTTACTTATTATAAAATAAAGTTGAACGGGGTAAAATGATTTTTGCCTAAAGTTATTGAAGATTTATTCTTTTCTTATTTGAATAAAATTGTAATGTATTTTTATGAAGTACCTATTAGAAATGCTGTGTGATTAGTAAAAACATCAATCTACGCAAATACACTTGCTCAAAAATGTTTTGTATAATATTATTTCTAACTGCAATTTTTTTTTGTTTTCTATTATGCAAAATATTTTTGAATGTATGTACTTGTACATACTCGTATACTTACACTATTATTCAGTTTTTAAATACAAAAAGACAATATATATTTTTATCTGAGATGAAAAGAGATACTTATAAGTTTAGAAACAATTTCTGATTAGTTTTAAATATTATCATACCACAAACTTCATTACGAAGACATTTACTAAAAAATGTGCAGGGGGTCGGTTCACTTACGAGTTTAAACTGTTTCAACTCCACTTAATTTTCACATAAAATCATTAATATGGGTGAGATACAGGGCGTTTCCACATAAAAGCCTATTTTGAATTGGCAATCAGTCGCCCAAAAAAATAAACACCAATGCAAGCAATTTTTATACTTTTCTCCCAGCATATTACTAAAGTTTAATAACAATATTGTATAAATGAACCTAAATCCACTGTAATTTACTAAGTATTTTAGGAATATCCCAGGGTTAGATGATTGATAAAAAGGTGTGTTGGTACAAAAAAAGTACTGACGGGATTCTACTGAATTATTGACACAACATACTGGGACACCTTATATCAATAGTTAATTATAGTGGATTTATGTTCACTAAATCGTTTGCAGCTTCGGAAAAAAATTCACCACCATTTTAAAAATGCGCCTATTATAAAAAACGATACGTTATTCTTCTTTTATGAATTTCGTTTGGACAACACTGTAAATTTCATAAATCGAAAGTTTTGGCAGTGTTTATACCACTAGTACGCACGCCGTTTTACATCCCCACTAAGCAGGATTGTTCAACCTCTCTGCTAAAAACTTCACAAAGGTGGGATAGCTGGGTTAAATATTGGACCACTGTAATTAGGATTAAAACGTATGGGTAAAAAGCACATTTGTATATCAGATATTATAAATATGCTTGTTTAATTTATTTAAACTGTACGTTACATAACTTTTATGTAACGTAGAGTTCCTTTGAATCACATTTTTTATAGAAATGTACCTATTTTTCTGATATACCAATTGTGCATATGGGTAGTATGGATGTGTAAAGTTAATAGCAGAGAAGTTGTTAATATTATGCTCCATGCAAAATAGTTAAATCTAATGATACAGTAACATGGTTCCCTAAAATTGTTAGTGTTATTGGGAATAATTGACTAAACATTTACCAATAGATTTAAATTTTTATTAAATAATCAATGGAAATGTGGATTTCCGATTTCTTACTTTGTTATTCATTATAAATTACTCATCCTTTATCATCGTTGATAAAGGATGATGTGAAGAATCTTACATGTACTTAATTAATCAAAAAATAAATAAATTTTTACTCTGTTTAGGTATATTAACGTGAAATTATTTTAATCCTGATTGTTATTTTAAAGCATAGTTTATAATAATATAGTGCAAATTTTCACGATAGTTTATGTTATATGTAGACACTCAAACAAGGTTTGAACAAAAGTTGTATGGATTTGAAAAATGATTTTTCTAAAAATATTTTTTGATGTAGATATAGGATGTTATGCTTTTGTGAAATTATCAGAATTTTATTAAGATAGATTAACTATGATTTCAAAATTGTTTAAATTATAAGTTATCAAGCTACCGAATAGTGATACAATTGATAAATTTATATCATATTTATATATATATTTATATCATATTAGTCACGATAATTTTTTGATTTCCAGTGCGGAGCTTTTCCCATAATGAGTTGATTATGTTTCCCAACAAGATTTGTCGCTCCATTTGAAACTGGAAAAATAGGAAAACCCGTTAATGGCCAATTAAAACTTCGCATGGTTTTCATCGATTGCGAGAAAAATTAACTAGGAATCTATTTTTCAATCATTCAAGGTGATTTTTAATGGACAAAAAAAAGTGAATAAAGAGTGATCCACAAAAAATGATTCTAAAGTAGGCCGTGAGTGAGAAAAAACAGAGATACAAGTCATGTCCTTGATAAGTATGCGCGGCTCTGAATTAAATCTAAAATGACAGTTAAAAAGAAGAATACTAGCACGCTTGACCGCGTGGTAACGTTGGATATAGAATTGAAAAATGAAGTCAAATATCTAGGCCTAACCCTGGACAACAAACTTCTCTGTAACACACATGAGAAGGAAGTAGTAAATAAGGCCACAAAAGCCCTAATGGTATGCAGAAACATTGCAGGTAAACGATGGGGATATAACCCAAACATACTGCTGTGGATGTATACTGCAATAGTGAGGCCAATCATTACTTACGGGGCTACAGCCTAGAGTAACAGAACTAGTTTAGCTACTACGAGAGCTAATATATCAAAAGTACAAAGACTAGCCTGTGTTTGCATTACCGGTGCAATGAGAACCTGTCCTACGGCCGCAATGGAGGTGATCTTAAACCTCGCCCCTCTACATTTGATGATATAGAATGTGGCAAAAAGGACACGATATAGAATGATCAGGAACGGAGTAATCAGACGAAAGTTTACTTGCTTCAGAACTAAAGATACCTGGGACATGCCCCAGGATGAAATGCTAAAGAAGTACAGTTTTGTGAGAAACTTCAAAACCACAGAGCTGGGCTACAAGAAAGAATGGATCCAAGAATCCATCGCGCTTGCAACCGAAAGACGTG